CGGATCTGCGATTAGTTCACACCGCCAGACAACACCCCCATAGGAATGACGCCAATTTTGAATCACCCTGTATGCATTGTTTATCATCTTAACGCATAAATAGAATTAAAAAAGAGCTAAATTTATGATATTTTGGAAAAAAAATTATATCGCAATCATTATATTCTGACAAATATTTTTGAAGGAGGATTTTGTTGCACACCAGTGTTATTGGTAATTGTTCTCAGCGTTATATTAATTTATTAGACTGGCAGTTGAAAACCATACCACCACCGTTACTCGATAAAATCCCTGTCATTTTTTTCTATTGAGTTCTGTATTGCAATTAGATGTCAGAATATGAACACTCGTCTGAAACTTTCAATCTTGTAAAACGATGAATAAAAATGTTTTTGTAGAAGTATGGTTCAGTTGAAGATTAGAAAACCCTGCATGGGATCATACTTGAATCCCACGCGCCACCACTGGATGTTTTTAAGTTGACAGCAGCATCTTTTGTAAGGCTCCCAGCAACGTAGCGTAGTACTCCTTCACTTCCCATAAAGTGGTTTTTTATCATGGGCGAACAGTAGCACTCTTTGTTGGCGTAGATGATGCAGCTCGAATGGATGTGTGAATTGATTAAGAATGAAATCTCCTTTTAGAACCTTCTCTCGAGATCACACACCTGACCACACTGGTGGCTATGTTAAAAAGTTTAATTGACCCCACGATGGGCGAAACCTGGGTCACTATTAATTCCACTTGATTATTTCACTTGGTAACAATGATCAGAAATCGATTTTCAGATTCTATTCTGCTTTAAATGGGCTATAAAACAGACGAAATCCTAGAGTACTCTACAGATTATTGGTTAAAGTAATCATTGCAAGTGCTCAATCAACTCGTCGAATTGTAACAAAAGATATAATAATTTACTACGAGTGAAGCTGCATTCAATTATGGCCTTTTGTAGGTTTTCTCGCAAACTACATTTTTTGCTATAGATGCCAATATTATCAATGAAGCGAATTCATAAAACTACCAAAGTAAATTTCCATTTCTGACTCACCTTGCAGTACACATGTACGAGCAAAAACTCAATAAATGCATACGGAATCTCATTGCTTTCGATCTAAACATCATGAATGATTTACCCACGTCCCAATGAATGTACAGAAGCATGTTTGCTTCATTATTAGTTTATAACATTGTGTTTGGTTTAAATGTTTGGCCCGTATTGTTCGAAATATTATTTAAAGACAGATTAGTTTCACGATGTTTGCTTGGGAATGATGAGCGGCAATACATATTTATAATAAGTGGGCTTATTAAAATGCCCGGAATAAGTTGGCAGCGCTAGTGAGAAACACATGTTATAAAAAAAGTGTAGTTTTCGATACAAGGGCGAAAAGTATCGTTTTTCGAACGACGGCGGCGTTTGACTCCCGAGACGAAGTCATTCCGTCAGGAGTTCGAAAAACGGATTTTCGCCCTAGCATCGAACACTATTTTTTTATTCGAATAAAGAACATAACAGCAATAAAAAGTCATAATAAATAAAAATAGTCAAAAATAAATACCGTCAACTTCTTATTTAAAATTTGATGTCAATGCCATTTTTTAAATTGTCATGTTTTCACGTTAGTAATTTTTCCAAAGCGTACTTTTGTGAGCATATGCAAGTGAAACAATGAGTGTGGAAAATCAAAGTGCTGCTTTCACGGTATGGTGTTTGTATAAGATGCATATTTTGCATAAAATTTGCAATCTTTAAAAAAATCGTGTTTTGCTTGTGGCCAACATCGGTGAGTGCAAAAAACAGACCATTTGAAGGACTTTGAGACTGAACTTGTGACAAAGTTATAATTTACAAATTTTAAGTAAACTTTAAATTATGATCAATAGATCGCTATAAACCTACGTAATTCATTAAAAAAGCCTGTTGTTTACTTTTTAATGAAAATACTTCAAAATATTTTATTACAGTGGTACGTCCAATTTGTCAGATTTACTTTTGCGCACATGTGCCTAAAAGTCTGTGCGTAAAAGTAAAACAAATGAACAGTAAAAAAAGTACTTCTTTTTGATCATCGCTTCCGATCGAAAAATGGCACTTTTAGAATCATTCGAATAAAAATACTTTTTCCGCCACGAACTTTAGTGTAAAGGACTTGAGCTACTCAAAGTCGACGCCAAGAGAAATTTAAATGAGAGCTAATAAAATATATAAAGTGTGGTACAAATGTCTGGAATCATCAAAATATCTTGAGTTCCGCCCACCCTATTTGGGTGGGCACTCAATAAATGAATATTATTAGACGAAAAATAAAGCGGAATTATTGGGTTGATTTTTTGAGCTAAGCGTTTTTAAGACTTTCAAACAAAGCAGTAAGAAGAAAAACATTCCTGGAAAATATTGACAGAGGGGCACCGTCTCAATCCTTATAATAGCGACTTTATGAAAAATTATTAAACAAACATTTGCCACGAGATTTTACAGACATATTGGAGTTCGAAATATGGAGTGGAATTTTACCGGTTGGCTATAAAGTTTCCATATTGACAATTCGTTTTTCTCTGCGAGAATTATGTAGGGAAAGTATATTCTTGTATTCACATGTTTTACGTCTCTCTATCGAATATACAGGGTGATTTAAAATTGGCGTCACTCCTCTGGAGGTGTTGTCTGTCGGTGTTTTAGGAGAACAGAAAAAATAGTAAAAAAAATTAATTGTTATTAAAAACTGAAAAAGTTGCAAAAACCTATATCAGAAAAACGGCAACAATGTTTTTCAAGGAAATCTGCTTAACTAACACTAAGCAAATACCTATTGCTTCGTAATTAGTAAAAACTACGGTAACCATAAGAATACAGAGTGAAAATAAAATAGACAGGGGTAAACGGTAAATTCAACAGGATTCGTTAAATATCGGAACGTACTTTTTCGAAATATCAATTATTTTCCTCATAACCTCGAATTGATTGATGTTTACAAATAAACTTACATTTGAGTACAACTCCAACAAGTAGTGCCTGTGTAGTCACCTTATTATCCACTCTTCTCGAGCAGCTTTTCGTATTGGGTTAATTAACCCCTGTGTTCAAATAACATTTAAACATTTCATACAGTTACGGCCATTTGCCCCAGTCTTCCTTAAAACTTATTCTTAGCTAGGGATAACTTTGGATTAAGGTTAACCCTAACTACAGACAGCTTTTCACGGCTGTCAATTAAGTGATACTTAGATAAGATGAAGTTTTACCTGGCAACATTGCTAAAAGTGACAAATTGGCTTTTGCTTCCGCCATTTCTTTCCAAAATAACCTTTATCTTAGAACTGAATGCGTGGTTGCTGTTACTGTTTACGTCTCAAATATAATTAATTCATAATATATTATTAAAGATG